GGACTTGAATTGTATTAAAAACGACTTGGGTGTTTGTTAGTTGTTAGTTCTCAATAAAGTCATCGGTAGGCGTTAGTCTTCATGTTTGATATGGCTCTCGTTGTTGGCAATTATTGGATATTCCAAGGCAAACTTTCCTCTTCGGATTTGACCAAATATGTTGGTCTAGGCGGAAGAACAAACAATTCCAAGTGTTCTCTGGTATAAACACCATTGGCTTCCAGTAACAATCTGGAAGCCTCTTTTATAGAAACGAACCTTCTTTTAATCTTGTCAATATTGACTCCAACAACACCAGAACGCTTATATGATGCAATAATGATGTTTTTGTTGCTTTGCTCTCTAATGCTCCCAACACCTTTTTGGTATGACGAGCAATGGAAACACAAATATGCTCTCTCAGCTCTCCTTGTTCTCTTAGAACTTGTCATGATCTGCCATCACTATCACTATGTTCTCTCATCCAAAAATCAATTCAAGTCTTCGGTTACTGCGAAATTGGCGTCAATTGATTTCAATTGTCAAAGTATTCAGTAAGCTGGTATTTTAACAACTCAAAATACACAAGCCAAATTGTGAGACGAGTTGGCTTGTATGAGGAACAACTTGTCTATTATGGCTAAAGGAAATCCTGTCTATGTACAAAGAAGTTGTATTTGTGCTGTTATAAAAACAAAATAATTGAAGCTTTGTGAATTAATTTTTGGTTATTTCAAACAATAGAAATAAGCCATTCAATTTTCTTCATAACACTAAGGTTGTTTACTTTTTCTTTCTAAAAACGTTTTATTTTATTATGGATAAGCTAAGAATCTTTTTCTTTGACATTTTTTATAAATTATTTATCGTTTTTGTTATTTTATAAATAGAACCGGGAAAACTCTGTATAGTAAAAAAGATAATAAAACAATAGGTCAAGCCCCTCACTCCCCCTACTGTAATTGCAAAAAAATATTTATGAAAATAACAAAAATTGAATATTTTTTAAAAAAAATACAAAAATGTGTTTTATTAAAAAAGATATTTTGAAGTTAAATTTTTTATTGTCTATTTTTGTTTACTTTTGTTGTTTTCACTTAATTTGTCGTTTATATAGGCTTGATAA